CAGAGTTTTCTAAAACGCCCCCTCGGGGGGGGGGGGGGGGGGGAGTGGTTTTAAGGCGAGAATATAATCCTTCCCAACTGCAGTCATCTCAGAGAGGTGTAAAATATAAAACAAAAATTGGAATATTTGAATATTGATATTATTGTGCACAATGATATTCTGTCCCCATTATTTTTAAACAACAAGCCAAAAAACTAAATGTAAAATCCTAAGGTAGTGTAAAGTTGGGGTTGAATATTTAAAACTGCAAAACTGCAAATGAGAAAGTTGTAATTTACATTAACACAACTGTGTCATCCATATGCATCTAAGGCTTGATCCTCGGTGCCCAGGGAATTCCTGGGGCATGGAGGATCAAGCCCTCAACCTGGGCAGATGCTCCTAGGTTTTCACTGTTTGCAGAGGTGTGCCCCAAGTCAGAATCCCTGAGCAAATCTCTGCAAGTGGGGATCCCCAAGATCCCCTTGTTTGCAGAGGCACTCCCAAAGGAACAGGGGTCCAACCCTGCAGGACAACAGGCAACATCTGTTTAGCCCAATGAAGCATATCAGCTGCACCAGGACACATCTCAGCAAAGCTGATCTGCTTCATTTAGCAATATCTGTTTGTGGTTTGATTCCCAAAACGAGCCTACCAGCTCCTCGAAGCCTCTCTATCTTAGAGCAAGAACAGTTTTCTGAAGGGCATGAATCATGGGTGGGTTGAGTTTTCAGCTTTATTCTGTGCTTAAATCTTTATTCCATCTACCCCCTGGAAGTCTCCTCAGTTGTTTTGATGCCATGCCTTCAACTGAATGCACCCTTTTGACACCAAATGTTAGATGCATTTTTAATTCAATCACTATTTTCCCCAATACTGTTTGTTGTTTACCCATCCATTCCTTTAGTGCGGATTAGCTCAACACAGTATGTCCTGAGATCACTCATTTATCTTTAACCATGGCTTATCTTTCAGTGCTGATGTAACTTTCTGGCACCACACTGATTGTGCACCTGCATCCTACTTAAAGCAAATAAACACCCACTTCCTTTGAGGATGACACTGCACTCAGCTGGGACTACAATTTTTGTCTACTAGTCCAACACCAAGTTCCTCTGAGCTACTTGTTTTCTTCGCTCTACTACACACTCTCCTGGTACTTGCAAACTCTTGCAAAGTGATGGAATCCACTGCTTTTTGCCAAATGTTGGCCATGGTCTTAGCTTATGTAATAGAGTACATAAAGCTGTATATGATACTGGCTGCAGCTTTGATTTCTGCAAGCCTCTGTGGCAGGTGTCAGAGTCCATCCTCCATGACCTAATGTTACTCTTTTTGCCAGTTCTAGGTGCTCAGTCAAGAATTAGTTCTCTCTCTCTCTCTCCTCATATGTTTCATTATTCCTCAAATTTGTTAGAGAATTTCACAATTACTTTTTAGTAATTCAAGCAGAGGAGGAAACTATTTTAAAAAGTGCCTCAAATCTATCATTTTTTATAACGTTTCCAAGAATATTCAGAAACACCCTTAGGAACAGGAGAAGGATTTAGAGCCCTCCCTTCAAAGCATCTTCTCACTTTCCTGAGTCACAGAATCAAGCTCTTTCTGACTTATTTTCCCACTGACTGCATGACTATTTCAATGTCGATAGTCCAGTGGAACAACTTCAGCAAAAGGTGATCTTGGCCCTGCTTAACCCATGGCCTGGTTCTTAGGAAGTGAGAAAGAAGATTTAAACCAATTCTGGGTTTCTTCCTTTCTGGGCAAGTACCCTATGCATTAGGGCAGGGGCTGGCAACCAATGGCCTACGTGGCCTGATCCAGCCTGACAAACAATTTCATTCAGCTTACGAAGCCCAGATATTAGTGCCAGTTCAGCAGCAGGGAAATTCTGTGAAGGTTAGCAAAAGCAATTTGGAGCCAGGGAAAAGTAGCAACAGCCAGGTTACAAGCAAGAAATTTTACATCCTTTTTCAATCTTAGAAAGTACATCCAGATGACCACACACGTGCATTTCCCCAGGAACAAATAGCAGTGGTATATAGTTGTGCCACTGCTACTCGTCCCCAGGGAATGCCTGTGCACGCCCACTCTGGCATGTGGCAAGCAGAGATGTGGGGCAGAAAATTTTCAAGTGCTTTATTTTTCCGTGGGAAATTTTCAATTTCTAAAAATTTATTGTTTCATAAAATTCATTAGTAACAATAAATGGATGCCAATACAATATTAGGCAAGCTTGGCAGTTTCAAAGTTGTAAGTAATATTTTTCAGATAATTATCCCTAGGAAGTGTGTGAGAGAGTACGTATGTTTTACTGATTTGTAAACAGGAGGGTAAATACATTCATATCAAACTAAAAATCAAGTTATCAAGTTATTATTCACCGAA